TGCGCGGGCGGGGTAAGGTGTAGTGGGGTAAGCGGTGGCGATGTGTCAGTGTCAGTTAGTGTCATACTTTCAGTAGCTCTAGTTTCCTACACCGTTTTCCCACATTCCTCGCCCGCATCTCTCGCACACATCTCTCACTATTTTGTATGTACAAATATTTAGCTATTTAACCCTTTTCCACCGAAGCTGCACTAAGCGAGGCTAGGAAAATGTAGTAATCCTATTGGTAGATTTTTTCCTCGCACACCGCCTCGCATATCTCTGGTGGAAAGGCAGCCTAATACATAAGTTGGAATGTCCCAAGGGACAGGTACAAGTAACTACCTGTAATTTCACCTGTACTCTTATTTTTCAAAACTGAAACGAAGTAATCATTACATTACTGCTGGGCGGCAGAAATAGGTAAGGTGGCAGTACTTCCCTGGATGAACCCTTCAACAAGGGCTGAGCTCTACTGCTACGTAATCAACATTAATTAATTTCGTTTAGTATTTCACACCACTTCTTAAAAATGAATTAGAATAAATGAAGTTGCCTACAATTTCACTTCTTCGTGTATGTGTTGGTCACTGAAGCTAATAATTATGTTGTTGTGGTTATTCACATGTTGTTCGTCATATCTTGAAATTCTTGTAATTATTAAGTCCAAACCGCAGCAAGTAGACAGTACCTACAGCTGTCCCCCTTGGTTTGGCACAATTTTGTAATTATCTGAGACGTGAAACATTCAATAATAAGATTTACTTAGCAAACAAACGTTTGTGACTTCTGGTCATATACAGTGTTCATAAAATCACTCTAAAGATATACTTCTATAATTAATTCCTGAGCTAAACAATAGCCTTTTTTCTGCAACTTTACTGTAATCACAAATCGGACTGCACACGAGCAATTTTACATTCAGTTAATTGTACTTTAAAGCGTTAATGCGCTTAAAAGCGTTTAACCCACTTTCGCATGATTGTGAATTTTATACAGCAATAAATAGCAACGATGTAATTTCAATTATTATGTGGTATCCGGAAGTTACTACCTGATATCTTTGAGTCATCTAAATTATTTTCACTTCCCATGCTCTTAAAGTTCGTATTTATGCTGGGTGTATGCTGCATAAAATAGGATTTTATGCTCTAGTGCACAAAATAGGATTTTATGCGCTAGTGCATAAAATAGGATTTTATAATAAATAAAAAATAAAAAACCATCACATTAAATATGTGTAATTGTTGTAATTTTACATTCAATTTTAATTAAATAATCGTTTATTTGCAATATTACTGTTTAATTTCCTAGCAATGAAGTGAAAAGCATAGTGTATAACTCGTTCATAAAACCCATTTTATCCTCGACTTAAGTTATCTACCCTCGCATGCGGCTCGGGTGGATATACTCGTCTCGGGTAACATTACGAGTTTTATGCACTTGTTGTACTATCTACTATTGATTGTCGGTACACTTTGGTTTTATGAGACGGATTACTTTTTAGAAAAGCCTCAAGTCAACAGTGGATTAAAGGCTTATATATTGTACGCTGGTTTAATTGTAAATATATATTTTTAATAATGCCTGCTGGTAAGTGACACACCTGTTCATAACAGTTGCAATGCCACTCAGACCTTTAATCCGCAAAGACCGGAGGGGCACTGCCACTGCGCCCGTCACTCTGAGACATAAGTTGACAAGTCCCATGTGCCTGTAATTCCTTCAGCACACTGCTCGCATTGCTGCTTCGCGGCAGAAATAGGTAAGGTGGCAGTACTTCCCTCGACGAGCCCTTTCACAAGGAGCTCTAGTAGTTACTAAAAGGATTATACAAAGACTTACATTACCTATACGTAGAAGTATATAAGCGGCCGAGTTTAATTTATCTGCCACTTTATACCTTTTCCTTGTATATTATTTATAGTTGACCTACATATTTTTCTAATAGTCACAATACAAAAACAAAACGCATGACCTGTTAGTCCGGCCACACACATAATGACAAATAATTGTAACGAGTTCATAGGTTTTCACCACTGTGGTCTGTGGTTTTACGATTGTTACACATAGGAAATGAAACACAATAATGCACACACAATAACGCACACACTCAACATAACCCTGTGTCGCGGGTGCCATGGACACCCACATAGACAACAACAAATTACACCCAACCTTACGAGAGAAATAAATGTAGGCCATACAAATATTTCTCCCGCCACGGGAAACGAACCTGGGACCTCTGCGTGGCAGTCCGGCATGGTAACCGTTCGGCCACGGAGCCAGTTTTTTGTCAACATCACGACCATGGGACCCCTTAAAGGGCCCGAAACGTTGGTTTGTTTGAAAAAACAGATATACGCGATTTAAATCTGGAAAAATAGTTTCATTTCCTAAGTAATTGTAACTTTTTTATAATAAAAAACGACCTCAAAAATCTGTGAGTTACATACATCTATTTGCCAAGTTTTATTGAAATCGGTTGACGGAAAATGACTGAAATCCAATAAACCGGGTTCATCCCCTAATTTGCCACCCTTAGAGGAATATTTTCTTTAAATTTGAATGGGACACTACAGAGGTACCCTCTTTCCAACAAAAAATAATCATCGAAATGGGTTCACCAATGTTGGAGCAATCGAGTAACATATGCTCACAATAAAATTTTGGTACCATTAGAGCTCTTTGTGAGAGTCCGTCCGGGAAAGACTGCCACATTACCTATTGTCTACCGTCAAGTAATGTGACAATTACTGTCTTCCAGTTTTGAAGGGTAAGTTAGAAAGTTAACTTATGTCTCAGGATGACGGGCGCAATGGCAGTCTCAGCTCGTTGAGATCAAAGCTCCGAATGGCACTGCGACTGCTATGCTCGTCCCTTGGAATTCCCGTCATTTGGATCATAAAAAAAATATAAAAAGTAGTGAATAGAGAACCTCATCCTTTTTGTAAAGTCGGTTAAAAAAACTCAGTTTCTACTCTTTGCATGGTTCCCATTATTCACAGCTTGTCGCTACATTTTCATGAATATTTATAAAATCACAGCCGTCGAAAGCCCTTAAAAGTAAGACAAGATAGAATTGTTTATCTTTAAGTGTAATTGCTTTTCTCACTATCTCGACGCTATTCCCTGTTCCTCTTGTGTAACACTGTCTCAACTAGGGCTTTCGTTCCGGGAATCTCGGTTTCGAAAGGTTATCTTTGTCTCAACGACTTTTTTACATTTTTTAGACTCAACACTGATCTCTCTGGATTATCGAAATTTTTGAGATTTAAGTCTTTTTTTATGATACTAAGTGACAGGACGAACAAATCGTGCACCTGGTGGTAAGCGACATACATACATAGATATCCATATGCAATGCCAATATAGCAATGCAAATATAGCAATGCCACTCAGAGTTTTGAAAGGATTGATAGGCACTGCCGGTGCGGTCATTCTGAGACATAAGTTGACAAGTCCCATGTGCCTGTAATTTCCCCAGCACCCTTACTCTTCAAAACCAGAACGCAGTAACGCTCACATTATTATTTGGCGGCAGAAATAGGTAAGGTGGCAGCACTTCTCTGATCGAACTCTTTCACGAGGGGCCCTACTGGTACCAAAATTAAACAAAAAATTAAATTTGTCACTAAATTAAACAGTAAGTATTAAAAAATGCACTAAGCCAGCAGTAATTTTTTATTCTGGGTACATGGACGTAGCGACACTGCAGACTGGGTTTAGTATCTGTGGGGATTGAAAAACAATAGTAAAAAAATGGGATCCTCTGTATCTAAATGCCTTTTTATGAAGATATTAATGTATAGAACATAGACATAAAGAACGCACTCATTATAAACATAAAAATCTTCAAAAATAAATTTTGATTTTATTATACGAGTTAATAAAGAACTTCATTCAAATACCACGTCTGCCTAAATGCCTAGCCTATAAACAGGGAGACCTACTTTTGAAATAATCTCGTAAGTCTCGTTTTTCTGGAATTTTCGAGAATCTCGCTCCGCATCTCGATTTTTTCCGGGATGCGGAAATGCAGCACGATTAAAAACCCTAGTAGCAATCCATGTAAATCAGTAAATCTTAGGGTACACTACGTTTTGAAACATTTTTTTTTATAACATCAAGTGACGGGACTAAAGAGTCGTGCGCCTGATGGTAAGGCTACACGCCTGTCCACAACAGTTACGGTGACACTTAGAGCTTTAAATTGCAAAGATCTGAGGGGCACTACCACTGCGCCCGTTCACCCTGAGACATAAGTTGAAAAGTCCCATGTGCCTGTAATTTCACCTAAACCCTTACCCTTCAAAACCGGAACACAGTAACGCTCATTACATAACAAACATTATCTGTTTCGTAGGTATTTCAGATTCAAAAATTTAGGTAGATGTTTAGTAGGTGTCTAAATTACACTGGACTGGTCATGAAGATCGAACAGTCTAACACAAAGCTTCTGCATTGATTAAGTAGACGGCTAATAGCAATTGCTTTCTTTGCTTTCATTTGTGGTTTCAATGGGAACATGAAGGTAAAGTATTGTTTAATTTGTTTCTGACTTTAAAAGGATAGTAAGGGAACAATAGACAAACCCGGACAAAAAGTTCGGCAGGTGGTTTATACATATTTTTACTGAGTAGTTTATTATTTAATAATGTTTTAGGTGGTAACTCTACCCATATTGTTTTTAAAAAAAGCAGCTCTTCTATGATATATACATTTGAGTCGAGTAGACAGACATACTCGTACGTAGACTTCAATATGGAACAATTCTTGTCTTCCGCAATTTAAGAGGATCTAGTAAACACCTTAAAAAATAACCTATACATATATAGAAGAAACATGAGATTGAAATACAATTTAAAATTGTTAAGCTATTGGCGTTACATGTGAGAGTATTGCTTTTGGTTTTATTGTAACACTGTGATCTGGAAGACACATTTCCAGGAAAATATTTAAAGTCACATATTATTTGATCTCTTCGCCTCGGCAAATATAGAAAATAAGGCTCAACTCACACTGGCGCAGAGCCGAAGCGCCGCGTCGCGTCTTGTTTTTCAACTATAACACCTGGCAACGCGCATCGACGCGCGACGTCGCTCGCATTAGTGCGCCCGGATCAAAGTGTGGTCGGCGTCTGACGCCTCACTGCGCTCAAGTAACGCGCGGCGACGCGCGAAGCCGCTCGACTGCAACAAAGCATCAACGCGCGACTCTTGACTCCATATTTGCATAACACAAATTTGTACCTTAATATTGGAGATAAATGTGCTATAGGGGAAAAATGTGACGCGTCGCGACGCTTCGACTCTGCGCCAGTGTGAGTTGAGCCTAAAACTTTACCTTAGCTTAGTTTTGGTTTGAATCGAGCAAATATTCATTACTGAAAGTGGAAAGAGTCTAACGAATTGATAAATTTACTTTCAGAGTTGAAATTCATTTAAAAAGAGTCACAACTGGTCTTCGGGGAACTCTTTCAACAAATGCAATCAACTCCGTAGTCTCGATTGAGAAGTAATTTTTTAAATTTAAAGTTTTTAAGTTAATATTAAAACCAATGCTATATTTACACTCTAAGATTGTTCTCTCACTTCTTGGAAATGTATTTCCAAGGACGGAAGGTCTAAGATTTAATAAAAAATTGTTTCCAATTGGAATATGATTGCACGCAGCATTTGTGCGGCTTCGAAATGTTATTTCAGTCACAAATCAAATCAATTTCTGTTAACTCTTCTGATCGATCGTAGCATCGTTGTTCATTCTGAGTACATATTTGTAGATACTTGCATATGAAGAATATGCTGAACATTTTTCTTTTACTTTACTGTAGGAAAGAAGGATGGCGAAAGCTGACTCAATAATTCTAAAATTTCATTCATAGACTTTGCTAGTTTAATTTTACGTTTTAGTTTACGCCTAGTTACCAACATATTTATGTATATTTTTAGAAGTCGTTAATAAAGAAATTGTAAAACAATGTATTTTAGAATAAATACAAGAGCACAACGCAATTAATTAAGTTCGACCATAGATTAGGTAACGTTCTTGTACGTACTTTTCATTTTAAGCATGATTGAATGTTTACCTGCCTAAAGTATTGGTTATTTTGTAGTATACACATAAAAAATTAAAGCTATAAAATGCCTAAAGCTGTAACAAAATAGTTTAATTTAAATGAGAGATAAGTGTTAACGCCGACAAATAAGACTCCATTATTAGTGTAAATCAGAAGGATTTTCTTTAAAAATTCAATGGACTCTTATTTATCAGCGTTAACAATTTGGTGACCCCGACGTGATGTTTTAAAGCTGTATAAAAGTTAACACCAATAATATAGGCATACCTATAATATAAAAGTAAAATAGCTTACGAGCACATAGATGAGAATCGAAGTGGGAATTGCAGAAAATAGCTCTGGAATGTTCGATAATAATTGATTTTAATTTTCGTTTTTACATTTAATCTGGTTCTATTTTTATTTTAAAAGAAATTCCACAAGTTTCGCCACAAGCCGGTGAGCATAAGGATTGCTACTTATGGGATAAATGTATCGCCGTTTATCCGAAAATCGTATGTTCGTAACAATATTGATTATTCATACTTATTACGTGAAGTCTACGTAAAGTACAAAGACTGGGATCATTACTGTAAGTGTTGAATTTCTTGTCACTTTTATATAAAGTAATTTAAGTGTATGAGTTGGTTTAAATAGTTACCGTGCTCGCACTTACAAAATGTCTGATTTAAGCGATCTCAAACGTAAAAAAGGGACGATTAGAACTCGTTTAATCCTATTTAAAAAGTTTCTTATGTCTTTGTTGGAGCAAAAGAAACCAACGCAAGTGTCAATTAATGAATGTATATTGAGATTATCTAAAATCGAACAGTGCTTTAATATCTTTGAGGAGGTTCAATCCAATATAGAATTAGAGGATAAATCTGAAGATGAAGTAAATCGAACGAGAGGTCTCAAAAATTTTCTTCGAATTTTACAGTGTGATTGCTCAAGCATGAGAATTTATTGCCGCCTTCAAAGATGACCACCACCAGGTGGACGAATTCTTCAGTCAAAGCAACCGCCAGCGCAGTGGTTCTAAAAATATTAAACTGCCACAACTGAAACTTCCTCTTATTGATGAAAAGACAAATAAATGGGTGGAATTTAGGGATCTTTATCTGTCTTTAATCCATGATAACGAGGATCTTGATAATACATGTAAATTTCATTACCTTAAGTCATTCCTTGAAGGTGATGCAAGTATTGTGATTAAATCTGTGTCCGTCTTAATTATCCTATCGCATGGTCGCTTCTGCGCGAAAGTTGCGATAATAAGCGTTTGTTGATCAATCAACATTTAAAATGTCTGTTCGGTATTGAGCCCTTGTCGAAGGAAAGTGATAAAGGCATACGTCAATTGATCGACAACTTATCTAAAAACTTGCAGGCACTCAAATCTCTTGGTGAAGACACCGAGAACTGGGACACTTTAATTATATTTATGGCTTCGTCAAAACTTGACAATGCTACGGCTAGGAGACGGGAGAAGTTCAGAAGTGACACCGCTTCTCCGTCATTACAGGACTTTTATAAATTTCTGCGCAATAGGGCTGATGTTTTAGAAACGGTGTCTTCTGCTAGGACAGTTTCAATAAATGAAAAACATAGTTTATTAACAACAAAATCATTTATAGCTTCTACAATTGTCGGCACTCTCTGGTTACGAATGCAAGTCCTGCAATAAAAGTCATAAATTAATTGAATGTCCCAAGTTTAAATCATTGTCTGTGGATGAGCGCTATCTGCAAGAAAGCCAGTGGAAATTGTGTAAAAATTGTTTACACCCTGGCCATCTAACACATCAATGTCGTGCCAATGGGTGTAGGATCTGTAAAAGAAGACACAGTACACTATTACATAAACAAATACTCAACCAGCAACAAAGTGGAGAGGAAGCAGCTGTTGTTTCAACTAAGAATAATCAGTGTTTGTATACATTACCAGCTCCTTCAAGTGTTGCTGTTCAACCTGAAACGGCGATTTTGTCAAACACTACTGTCACTATGGCAACCGTAGATTCTGATCAAGTTTTGCTTACCATTGGGCTTGTCAGGGTGACATATAATGGTAATAAGTACGTCCTGCGCGCATTGTTAGACAGTGGCAGTCAGTCCTCTTTTATTACTGAAAGGGCTAATCAAAGAATCTGCTGTAATACGATTAAAGTAAATCGTTCTGTTTCGGGTATTAATAATACACTATCGAAAATAAATGCGTCTTGTGATTAAATTCACTGCACACCTCCTTCACTGGTACTGTCAAGTGTCATATAGTTCCGACTGTAACCGATAAACTTCCTTCCATGAAGGTACAAACACAATTAAATATACCAAATAATTTATCTCATATCGGACCCAAAGTTTTACTCTCCGGTAGAAGTGAATTTACTGCTAGGCTCAGACATATTCTGGGACATAGTTGGGTCCAATCAGGTTAAACTGGGTAAAAATAAACCAATCTTGACCGAAACAAAGCTAGGATGGACAGTGGCTGGCCCTACGGAGGCCCAAGGACTCTACGAGGTCTTAAAATGTTCGCTGTAACTTTTCTCAGGACATTAAAGAGCAACTATCAAAATTCTGGGAACTCGAAAAGTTGCCTAGTACAAAAGCTGTCACCTCATTCGAGGATTATAATAGTGAGAAGCTCTTTATTAACTCTACCTACCGTAATAGTGACGGGAAATATGTTGCGAGGATCCCTTTTCGAGAATCGCCAGATGCCCTAGGTTATTCGTACAAACATAGCGGAAAAAAGATTGCTTAGTATTGAAATGAGAATGTCTAAGAATGCTAAACTTAGACAAGGCTATTCTGATTTTATTAAAGAATATCAAAATCTTGGTCTTTTGATTGAAGTCTCGGAGGCTGAATTAGGTAGTCAGTTTCTGCCACATCAAGCGGTACTAAGAGAACAAAGTGAAACCACCAAACTACGAATTGTTTTTGACACGTCTGCCAAAACAACATCAGGAAAGTCATTGAACGATATACAGTATGTTGGGCCTGTAGTGCAAAACGACTTGCTGTCTATATTATTAAGGTTCAGGCAGCATAAATATATAGTTACAGCGGATATAGAGAAGATGTATAGGCAAATTCTTTGGAGAGATCAAGAGTCCGAAAATATACGCATATTGCAATTAAACACAATACCTTATGGCTCAGCTTTGGCTCCCTTTTTGAGTACGCGATGTTTGCTACAGTTGGCTAAGGAATGCGATAACCAAACCATCTCTAAAATAATACAACATTTTTATTAGATTAGATAGATTTTTATTGACTGGTGCGCAGACTGAAGCTGAACTGAGCAATATATGCGAACTAGTCACCAGCATATTGAACGGAGTTTGTTTACATCTTCGTAAGTTTCACACCAACGCTCCTACAGTCGTCAAAAATAGCCTAAGTGCCATGATACGAAAAGGTTTAGATGTGACTGGTCAATCGAGAGTTTTAGGGCTAAAATGGCAACCAGCGCCCGATTGTTTAGCCCGAGAGTCGTATTCCTGAACTCTACTCAATGTTCAAGTCAGAACTTGAGTATGACTTCCAGAACTTGAAATACGACCCTAATGGCAAGGACATGAGTATGAGTTCTAGTGCTTTAAATTATACTTAAGTCCTGACTTGAGTAGAGTTCTGGAATACGACTCTGAGATTGAGAACAGTGTGACCATTTGTGGCAGATTTCTGCCATTTGGGCAGATTTAATTTTTATTCACATTCATTGCGGCAGAACATATTAACGTTGTATTAAATGTGGCAGTTTGGCAAATTTGGGAACATTCAGCAAAATCTTTATTATTTTTGGGAACAAACTGAAAACTTGTTGTTTTCTGCTACTACGATCAAACATCTGATGCGAAATACAGGACAATGTCATAGACATAACCTATATCAACTTTATAACTCAAGCTTCTACAGACTGTATTCAATTTGCTTTTTCGATGTTATGATAATGAATCACATGTGTTGACAGGTTTCTTTAATGTACGTCGTCAAAAACACTGGGTCACAAAATACACGGGATGTCGCCATCCTTCTTTATTAC